ATCGTTAAATGAAATTGTCTTAGCAAAGCAATAAATACTTGAAAGCTATTGAGGAAAATCAAACGAAAGAGTTGAATGCTTACTACAATCTTTTGTTGAGTTTAAACAAGTTTTTAAGCCAATGTATCTTTGAAAGATAGATTTTAAGTTTAGAAAATTAGCCCACTGATTTCATACATAGAAATAATGTCCAAATAAACTATGATTAAAAAATTAGAAAATAACATCATATTTCTAATAGCCATAACTTTTATAGTATTATGTTTTGTTTCTTTATTGTTACACAGTTATGTGTATCTGTGTCATTATAATTAATTAATATATTCTGAGGAGACAATAGGGATGATGACTAATTTTTGTTTGTTTGTCCGTCAGGTAGAGTGTTAAAAATATTAAACACGTATTTTTTTTTTTTCGTAATCATAAAATTCCGGCGTTACATGGAGTTGAAATTTCGCATGACGTCACGTTATGGTTCGTTTTCTACTCAACTGTGACGTAGCGAGCCCTCACTCCTCAACTTTAATGCCTGTTATCTAAGCTATTTTTTGTTAAATTGATGTAAAAAAAAATACGTATCTAATATTCTTCTATTATCTGACTGACGGACTAAATAGAATTGCATTTTTTTTACCCAGTCGTCATCCCTATTGCACAATAGTAATTATTTAAATAGAGGTTGGAATTGACTGCGAATCTGACTAATGCAAATAATGTGAACAAACATCGTCATTATTTTCAAAGTGCTTTAATTAGGGGTTCATTATATGATTATTATAATTGATTATTCAACTTGAAAATATTTCAAATATTTCTTTACTAATGAATATTTAAGTTACATGTCGAAAGAGTCAAATTAGTACTGAAGCTATTATGCTAAGAAAAACTTGTTACAATTTAAAAAATCAATAACTTTAAACTAGGGCCTACTTGTGGAATTTAAAAATTTATCGCAATACCTTTTTATGTACAACGGTTAATGGACATAACTCCTTAAACCACTGTATATTTGAAATTAAAATCTCAAACGCTATTGGAATGAATGAGTATTTGAATGATCAAGGCACATAATACACACTGGTTTTGTAAACAGAAATAACGCCCAAATAAACTGCAATTAAAAATAAGAAGATAGAATCATATTTTTCTAAGGGCACTGTCTCATCCAAAAGGGAAATTATGAAGTTTTCTCAACAGGAAAAAATCACAAAAATGCCTTTCAAAATTCTTAAAAAATTTCTTTCAAATTTATTGTAATTATACTTTTTATGGGTAAAATTGATAAATATGTGGACCACTTTATAGTCGGGGTGCAACACATTCACAATAATAATAGTTTGCAAGTAATTGAAGAAAAAGATTTTGACCCTTTTAGTTTAACAATACAATATTTTATAGGAATAGTCACAATTTTTAACAAAAGTAGATATACATTCCTGACGCATCTGGGTCCTGTGCCAATTAACTAATTTATGAACTATATTCCCAATCGCTTTTCGACATTCAATTCTCAAGGAAACGATCAATTAAAGAATTTATCATTTCATAGGTGACAACATTGTTTAAGAAAACGAAATAGATTTGGGTGTTCACTTCTTTTTATTACGTTAATTACATTAAACTATATTGATAGCAAATATAGACATATCAACGTTATGCCATGTACTTGGAGCGCCATCTCTCGGTGGTTTTCCAAACTAAACACATACATTAACTGTCCATGCACGCATTGAGACGTTGATGACGTACACACATACGGCGTTCGGCGAACGTTAGTAGGACTGGTATACATCAGGTTAAGTTCGGAAATCAATATACAAGCAATTACTTGCGCATAGCTCCTCTTCTTTCTCTACAAAAGACAACGACAGTTCCAACGAGAATATTGACACTGACACATGGACTTTTTCTCAAATTGTAACCAAAATTAAATCAATCAAGATTTTAGATATGTAGAATTGTATTTAAAACTCTTAATATCAATAACAGAGAGTGAATATAGACATACAAATAGAATAAAATCTGTCATTTGTATGTATGTAGTTGAATAATTAGGGTATTCTACTCTGTTTGAAATAGTACATGTAACTGTTTCTTTTTATAAAAAACGCAATAAAACAAATTTTATGATGATTCTTTTACTTTTCGAGCTGTGCGACTATGGAATTTTCTTCCAATAAATATAAGATTATCACAGACACTGGACTCAAATATGAAGGGTGTAAAACAATTATATTTTAATTCAGTGGTTGTGTAGCTGCAAAACGATACGATTATTATTATTTATTTTCTTTGTTAGGCTTCTATACTGTATAAATGTATGTATTTTTATATTTATTAGTATTCATCGAGTTAAATGTGTATGTGTATTTAGTTTTGTTTGTAATTATTTATTTTTATATTAATTTGATAATACTTTGATATATTACGATGGTTTGCCTCGTACGTTGATAATCGTTGTCAGGCAGTTGTTGTAAACAACTATATTTCGAGCTGGGTATCCATTCCTAGTGGCGTTCCGCAGGGCTCGCTGGTTGGACCTTTGCTGTTCATTATCTTCGTCAATGATATTGATGCGTGTTTTCGTGCGTCAAGTCTTCTCTGTTTTGCTGACGATATGAAGATATATGCTAAAATACACGATCTTAACGATGCTAAGTCACTCCAATACGATCTAAACAGACTCGAAGTTTACTGTAGTCAGCATATGTTGGATCTGAATCCATCTAAATGCACAGTCATGACTTTCAGTAGGAAGAAGACGATGATTGCATATGATTACACGCTTCAACAGCTTATTTTGCAACGTGTCCAATCTATGCGAGACCTCGACATACTGCATGACAGTAAGTTGTTGTTCGATGAGCACATAAATATTATAATTTCCCAAGCAAGCAAAGCTCTCGGATTCCTATATCGTAGCTGTAAGGACTTTACCAACGTGAAAACATTTAAAGTACTTTACTGCAGTCTTGTGCGTAGTCACTTGGAATATGGCTCACAGGTGTGGAATCCTAGATATGCCGTTTATATCGAAGGGATTGAAAATATACAAAAGAAGTTTTTGAAATATTTATGTTACCGCACGAGGACGATATATAATTCCAGTGATTATATGGAATTATGTAAAAAGCATCACTTATTAACCCTGGAAAACCGTTGAATGATAGCTGACATTATATTTTTAATGAAAATAGTCTCTAACGTTATTGATTGCCCCGAGCTTCTTTCATTATTGAGCTTTAATGTACCAGGAAGGAATCTTCGTTATTTTAGGCCAATTCATGTAGCCATTTCAAATACAAATTATAGGCAAAATACCTTTTTACTCCGTGCAGGCAAATGCTTCAATGATTTGTGTAATAAGGTGGATATAGACCTATTTTGTTCAAGCTGTGACTCAGCAAGACAAATTATTGTTAATCTGTTAACTTGACCGAAGGCTTTTTTGATTCTTTTTTTTCTTTTATTACTTAACTATGTGTAATTGTTTGATAAACATAGTGGTAACATTGGTTTGTGTCCTTATTATAGTTTGGATCTATATGTGTGAGTCTATAATTGGTTCTCTGTTTCTTATTATTGTTTTTTATTTAATTTTATGTAACTGTTGGTTCACCTTTGAAAATAAAATAAATAAAATAAAAATAAATATTCTATTGTGCACCCCGTCTTATTTTTTTAATAAAATATGTCCTTTCATCCACAGTTTGTCTGGAAGTGATCACTATATATTGATAACACCGCCGATTGTGAGACTTAAGTGTATTTGTTTATGTTTTGTTTTCTCTGCATTTTTGGTGTATACAAAAAAGTGCTATCTATCTAGCCATATTTTATACCCGCGAAAGCTGTCCGTCATATTCATGACGTCATTCTGATATGCACACGAAACAGATGCACAGTAGAACATTAAAAGATGTCAATAAAACAAGAACAATGCCATCTAACGATCGATTTGTGCAATCTCGTGACATATTTTTCAGTACTGAAACAACCCAAGTTGGATTTGCCTATAATTTGTGACAAATAATTAGACCTAGAATTTGTGACAATTAGAAAATTATAATAAGTAAATAAATAAGGAATATTGTACACAAATGTTGCCAAACCTGAATAATTAAATAAAGTGGTTGGCACTGTTAGGTCTAACAACTTCTGAGGATTCTCCTTGGTGGAGCTAAACACATGTAGAGTGATGATTTTGCGAGATTTATTGTCGTTTGTACATGTGAATTTGGTCTTGTTGATACTGACTGGGTGTGGAAGTTACTAGATATCATAATTTCACAGTTATAGCTGAATAATAAAATATAGTAATACTCACCTAGCTACAGCCACTGGTTGATTCAGTTGCTCTTTGCCCGTGCCCCTAGTTCCCCACACCAGTAGTGGGGCAGCGTTAGGCAGTATGTTAGTTCGCAGAGGTGAATCTCTTACTGCTCTAGAGAACACTAACACTCGTAGACAAATCGTACCCGCACTCCACGGACGCATTGTGATTCTGAAAACAGCATTAAAAAGTAATAAGAACAAAAATTTAATTTATATGCAATAATAAATGCAATCTTGAATCTTCCCAGTATCTTTCGGCATCTTTCAATTGGTCCAAAAATCCACGTTTTAATGCAGAAAAAGTTCACTTATGACTAGGCTGTATGGCGTAAATCTCTTTGCTTGTAATGAAATAACAACAACAATCAGTGATGTCAATATAATAAAATTTATTTTGTTTTTTTTAACATGTTTATATCCCGGCACCTAGTAATTTAATCAAAATATTAATAATGATACGACTTGAGGTTCGAGATTATTTGCATGTCCCCGTCAAGCTCATTTCACAATAATTTAGTATTTTTCATTTCACAATTTTCAACTTTATAATTACCGGTAAATACAAAATTAAAAAGTGGAGAAATAAGTGCTTAAAGTATTGCAAAAAATTGTACGAGCTTAATATAGGTCATATCTATATTCAAACAGGGCTCTTCCCTTTTTTTCCCCGGTGGCCGATTCTTTTATGCCATCAAATATACTACCAATTGATTCGATAGTTTTTGTTAGCGCGATTCAACGCTATAGATGGCGTTGTAGTCAATGCCATCTATTGACTTGGAACTGAAACATCAATGCGCTGCAGATATGTGACATAATTGCTTTTTAGTGCGTTATTTTATTAGAGATGAATCAATCCATAATATTTTAACTGTCGTAAATACGCGTCACCTAAAGATGGAAGCGAATATGTATAAATTACAGCGCATCATAATTATTTAGACATATTTCAATTGTTCTTTTAACTAAATAAAGATATTTGTTCAATTAAAAATACTATTTACTGAATTTTCACATGCATTTTGAACATAGCAAGCACTTCGAATATATATTATATAAACATTTTCAATTCTGAAAAATAATTTTATAAATATTAAGTTTTTATAAATTTGTGTAAATGAAAGGGTTAAAGCTTCTATGGTCGGGTCAATGTAAAATGAACTCTTCTATGTTGTCTCGGGTTTGATTTCCATAATAAAAGTGCTAAAAGCACCTTTATTTGTCATCAGAGCAATGTATGTGATGTAGTCTAATATTTATTATAGGTTAGTGAAATGTATTATTTGAATAATTTTTTTTTTATCATAATTACCTTCTAAATGACCCATCATCATCATCTTCCTGTCGTGTTCCCGGTCTATGTGTAGTCAGCTCAGTGTGTCCTCTTCTTCCACTTTTCTCTGTCCACTGACTCACTTTCATATCATGCCTTACACAGTACGTCCATCTTTTCTGTGGTCTTTCCCTAGCTCTCACCATCATTCATTTCATGTTCTCGTATGTCTGTACCAGGTCAGACGCTTTCCTTTCAGTTTTTATGTCAGTGCCAGACTTCCCTCTCACAAACTCGCTAACTCACCCATTATTTTATATTAAGCTTACCTGTACAAGCCGGAATCTAAATCTGTAACATTACAAGGTAATGGAGCGTCGTCAAGTGTGGCGGCAGCTGTAACAGGATCGCCGCCTGTACTTCTTGCTTCTCCATGATAATCTACTGTTCGTAGTACTACCACTACTTCGAGACCGCATACGCATTGTGACTCTGCAAGCACCCATTTACGTTTAAAAAATGGAAATTTGTGTCATTATAATAAGTCGATGCAACAGAATTCTACTTCTGATTTTGCAACTGCAGAAATTCCGCGTGTTTTCTGACGTCTACTTCTCTGTCTGGTTCCGCAGCTTTTATAACGGAAATTTAAACGGTAGATTACGACGTACGGTTTGTTTGTTTAATGGATGCGCGCGGTAGGAGAGGAACATAACGAGAAATACGGACACATTCAACACTTGTTGTGATTTGTCGATTACTAATTTGTTTGAACACTAATAATTTGTCTTAATATCATTGGAATAAGAGCGAGGAGCTCGATGGCGCAGGCACGGGCGAGTGTGTGCAGATAACCGCGATTCGTCTGCGATACGGTTTTTGTGACCTTCGCAATGGCCGATCATAGGGTGGGTGACCAAAAATTTACTATCTCGAGCTCCTCCTTGCTTTGGCATTAAGTGAAGGAAGTGCATCTGCAGTTGTTAATGCCCACCAATCTGCACTGGGCCCACTTGATGGGTCATAGCCCATTCTCTCTGTTCTATTTGATTCGATTCCATCCAAAGGGAAAGCCTGAGGCCCAGCAGTCGGGACATTAATAGGTAAGGTAGCTATATTTTTTTTTTCACGCACGTATAACTTCTCGTAGATGAAAGAATTTCCATAATCAATCCAGTAACTCCTAAGCCTATTCAGTTCAATCAATTAAATATTTCCTTTTTATAATATTTTAGTAAAGATTTCAAAAACACGGAGCGATATCTAACTCCTATAGAATCTTTAGCTGTTTACCATAAATTAAGACTTCAAATTTACAAAGATTATGATGCTCTTCTATCGTGTGGCGTTTATATAAAGAAGGCATGTCTTACCAAGTTGCAGTGTACACAGCCCTGGGAAAGTGGTGCTGGTTCGAACCCTGCCCAACACGGCGAGAGATTCAGCGAATCGTTGCTGTGCGTCATTATGAGCAAAGTCTACGGCCAGGAAGGCGTTTTCTCTAGGCTCCGCTAGGGCTGCTGCATCACCCAATCGCGCACCTAGAGCAGCGGCACGGCTACTCACTTCTCGTACTTCCACTTGCTGTTGGAGCCCAGAACATTCTGCTTCTACCTAGAAATAAAAAAATTATCATATCCCAATTCTGTTTTAAAAAATTGGATATTTGACATTTAAATCATAAACTTTATCTGTACAAAGAATTTGTAAAGTAAGAATCAAATTGCGGAAACATTAACAACATACTTTTGTTTTTTCTGCATCAATTAACTTCAATTGTTCTTCGAGAAGTTTTCGTTTATGAGTAGCTGCTGCCGCAGCGGCCGATTTAAGTTCACCGTGTCGTTTATCGAGCGCTGCTTTAAGATCTGCAAAATGTCTATCGATCGCTTCATCCGCTGCTGTCGCTGCCGCATCTAATCTCCTCAGTTCGCTAGCAACGGCATCTCTAGCAGACCCAAGTTTACTAAGGCATTCGTTAGCTCTATATAACAATATTTCAGACATTCTTTTCAGTGCTATCGAAAACGGTACTACAGTGTGGTCACAAGGTGTGTCGCTGTGAGGCCCGTCAGCGCAATGTCTACAAAACACGCAATCGCACGTTTCACAAAATAATAACTCTCTCCCTGGATGTGAGCTACATTGTGGTATAACTTCTCTGCGTTGTCGTGCCATCAAATCAAGTAACTGGTTGACGAGAAATGAGGGTGGTAGCGCAGGAACTCCCCCTCGAGGTATCGTTATGAGCTCGCGACATATAGGACATCGAAAGGTACCAGCATCTCTTGTTTGTGAAGCTGCTATGCGAGTGAGACAATGCAAGCAGACCGTATGAGAACATGGGAGAAGTTTCGGGGTATGTTCCCCACCATCATAAGTGCCTAGAACAAACATTTATACCTGAATTAGTAGACTGAATATCAATATGAAGTCATTACTATTCTGGTCGTAAATTGTATACAATAAAGGTATTATTTTATTGTGTACAATTTATGTGATGGATGACACAATAGTGAAAACTTTAAATTTATATTTATTAATTGAAAATCTACTTCTTTATCTAAATACTAGTTTTCCGTCAGCGGCTTCGCCCGCGTGGTCTCTAGGGAATTGTTTATTTGGATAACGATTCATATCATGACACAGACATAACTGCAATCACAAATTAAACAGTAAACAAAATTCCATTCCCATTTTCAAACCTTTATTCTGTTTTTTGGGATAAAATATAGCCTATGTTCACTGCATATGATGTAGCTTCCCATAGGTGAAACAATTTTTAAAATCGGTCCAGTACTTACGGAGCCAATTTGTTGCAAACAATTAAATATCTCCTGTTTACAATATTAGTATATATGTAAGTATAGATTAAAAGGACTATAAATGATCTTAAAAAAAATAATTTAAAACAATGATTATTTGCCAAATTCATTTTTCCACATTACATACTTCAAATGATTAATAATTTCAAAAAATCCTAGTTAAAACATCATCTGTGAAACTAAAATGATATTGTAAGACAATACACACTTTTTTGGACAGTCATCTAAAAAGCAAACAAATAGTCAACTATTATCTTAGATCCTTGCTATTTATTGACAAGTGCTGATGTCTTATTATCTAGCATTTATAAATTTAAAAAACAAATTTGACATGTAAAAACATGAATAGGATAATATGAAGAGTGCATTCAATAAAAGTAAATATGTACTAACATAAACATGTGCCGCAAGTGAGAAAGCTTTCGTTAAAGTCTTCGTAGTTGATGGAGACGGTCTCGACGAGCGTGGAACTCATGCTCGCCATCCCGACGCCCAGTCGCGAACTGTTCATCATACACGCACACATAATAAACTAACTATAAATTCATGAGCTGCCAGTACTTATTAAATTTAGATAACATAAGGAAAAATGCAAACAATAATAAGCCAATCATTGCAGTTATTTTAAATTAATAACATGAATAAATTCTTCTCAAATATAGATATTAAAAGAAAAACAAACTCACAAACAGTCTTAATAAAATGGGACTAAGAATTAACTTAGAATTTTCAGTGTAAGTAACCTATTTTACAACCAAATATAGATAGTGTGCAGAATATAATGCCAATTATGATTCAACAATCATAGCAGATTGCATTTCATTGCTTTCAATTGGATAAAGTAGTTAATTAATTTAATATTCGTTACTATCACAGCATGCATAAACATATTTTATTACTGATGATTAGCAAAATGACACAACAGTTCAGAGTAGTGTCGCGTTTTATGCACCATTTTTAGGTTAAAGTTTAATTACACAGTTAGATAACAGGTATATTGAAAATTGGTTTGAGGTCAAAAATATAATACACATATTTGGTTATTATGACGAAGGTGAAAGATTTATTGATACGAGCAAAAAAATTTTTGATAACTTATACACATTTGAAATTAATAAAATTCAATATTGAAAACAATACTGCTGGGATCAATAAACTCTTCAAATATCAGCGTATTTTTTAATGAAAAGATAGTGTAATTCAAATTATGAGAAAAAATAAATCATTCCAACATACCAGACATGATCTCTGTATTTAAGTTTCTTATGAAATTTATCTGACAACAATGAGAATAGTATTTTTGTTGTAATAACAAAAAAGTTAATGGGTATTTGGACATTTCTTTGATATGTTTATGTGTGCAGGTTGATGAACCCATTGGTGTTGTTTAAACATTGTACTGGCATATTTTTTTCTAACCATACAGTTATAAATTATCTGAAAATATAAGCTATAAACTTTGAAGATATATATCATATACATATTTTTGTGTAACAAAAGTTTTAGCTCCATATAAATTAGATATTGTTATATATGTGCAATAATTAGGTGCTATAACTAATAAATACACTACCTACTGTATTGTCTTGTATATTCAAATGAATTAAGAGCAATTAGGAAGTAAAAATAAATAAAAGAAAATAAAAAAATACTCACAGAAACGAGCAACAATACATGGACGTGTGATCAGGAACAGAAAGTTAAATCAGCAATCTACTCGTTTCAAATCATGCGTCGATTTCAGCTTTCGTCAGTTCGTGAAGATTTCAGTGGAGGTGGAGTGCGGGTGCAATAAATTGTGAACGTAAACACCATAACAACGCGGTAGTGTATTACAAATACTGAGGTTATAGCTATTATAACTTAATTATTACTTGTTAGTTAAATGAACACCAATTTACACAAAGAATGTAAAGAAAAATGCTCTTTCGTAATCGATCGATAGTTTATGAAAACTATTCCCATGACAAAGAAACTTCTTTGCAATGTTATTCTAAGAAAAGCAACATAATTAGATGGCAGACACTGAAGTTAGAACATTGCTTGAATGTTTGTGTATTATATATAACATATTTGATTATAGTTTCTATCTAAATATTTATCAAGAAACTATTTTCGTCGTCCATTAACCTCACTGTCCAAAACAACCAACCATCAACATCAACCAGCCAAACGTCAGTCAAAGTTGCAACTTGCAGAGTGCTGTATGTCGATCGCCAATCGACATTCAATTGCAATAAAAAAAAGCTCCACTCCAATTCGTATCCCTTGCAGAGATAATTGAAACACAATCTGACCTGATGACTGATATTTAACAAAGATTATTCCCCTTATTCTGTAATTCTGTGGACATCCGAAAAAAATTCTTCATAGAGCTCTGTGAGTTGTAATATTTTTATATTATTTGATTAGGCCTGCTATGCTATACTATCAATCCATATATTTTAAACAGATAGTATGTACCTATGTAAAAAAATACATGAAATAATACACTGACATACATAAAAACAAACATAAATATCCGTCGAACATATATCTATGTGTATTATACAATCGTTTAAAAAAAGATACTTAATGAAATATAGAATTATTAGGTATGTGATGCGATGCGATTGCGGTCACGACTATTTTTTTTATCGTTAATCGGAATTTCCCAAGACAAGAGTTAGACGCAAATAGTGAAATTCAAACGAATGAGTTGAATGTTAACTGCAATCTTTCGATAGGATAAGTTTAGTTTTTATTATTTTAGATATTCATTTAAATCATTCTAAAAGCAATTGCGACTTTAAATTTTGCATTATTACAAATATCTCTATCATAATCGCTAAAACTTTGAAACGGATTTTTGATGGATTTAAGAAAAAAGTGCATACATACCATGAAGTTTTTTAACATACCGTTGATAATACATCCTTCAATCTGAAATAGATACGATATTTTTTTGTGAATAGTACATACTGCGTATCTACAAGAGAATGTCTCTATGTTCTTTTTTTATTTTAATGTTAGATATTCAAAGCAGAGATTATCGCTCTTTTGTCCCCACCCGATCTCTTTCGTAAATCGTAGAGGTAGGCTATGATAAGTAACTACAAGTACACTTAAATATTTTAAACCGATTGATAATGTTTCAATTGTAACTTATTTATCGCAGAATCGATTTAATATCAATGGGGACTTGTCTCTTAAACCGATCTACGACTGTCAAAGTACCCTTTATTGGCAGAATTGCGTAAATGCAAATAGGCCATGAATTAAAAAAGAAGAAGAAGAAAGTACCCTTTGCAAATCATCTATAAATTATAGAACCATAGAATTAATAAGTACTCTACGTACATAGAGTACTTATTAATTCTATGTATAGAACTGCATCAAAGAGTACAGTAATAATATGGAAAAACTTTATATGAGGCTCATATTGCACTGCAGATATTTTTATATAATTAAAAATATTATTATAAACTTTTAAAGATGAAATATTACTTTGTTGTTTTTATTTTTATTTTACGCGTATATAATTTAATAAATTTAAAATGAATTACATTATAGTTACATACATATTTTTGAAAATCTATGCATTTCTTATTAACGCCTACTATTAACTAACAGCAAATATTTTGGTATGAGCTTTACTGAACTTTTGTAAAAGGCACTCACTGCCTAAACAAACAAAGTAGAGTGAAGAGATCAAATCAATGTATTAAATTAGACATAATGCAAACAAGCCTAATACCAGCGTATTTATTTTAAACTACGAATGTAGACAGAGAAACATCATCTAAGTTCGATAGCTTTAATTGGCCCATTAAGCTTAGATCATAGTCATTGGGTATGTTTTTGTTTGAAAAATTATCGAGACACGACACGAATAATACGTAGATAGACTATAATACTATGTAGATATTAATACGTAGGTATGATTCAAGGTCAAACAAATTTGTGGGTTCGGTATTTTTAATCAACGTTAATATTGTTTGTTAGTAAGCATAGGAAGTTTGTTGGAATAAGTTGCGTATCAGTGTTATCAAAGATATTTTTAGTTGATATAAAACAAGGTGATAAAAAAAATGATTTTGCTTAATAGGAGTGCAATGATTCGGCAGACGCAAATATTTCAGTGTGTATTTTTTTAAGAACTGTAATAAACATTGTTTGGGGTTATTTTGATAATGTCTACGCTGAATAGATACCAATAAGTATTTATTCAATAGATATCTACCACGTTCGTATCGATAATACTAATATTATAAACGATTTTATAATTTCTTAATATAGCTAATCAATATTTTTATCAAATTATACCAATAATAGAATTCTGAATTTAGCAGTTCAACTCTGCAGACGTAGATTAGATAGGATATTCTACTCTGCTGCTTTTTCTCTAACAATCGTTTCTATGGTCGAGAAGTAATTACTTGAGAAAATGACTTAACCAATAGACGAGAATTCGAATTACAGTTCTTACTTCAGTATTTAGTAAAAATATATGTTTAAGTTATGCACTTATGACATATTATCAAGGAATTACTTCTCTCGATTATAGATGTCTAAGAGGGGTCGTGACAAAAATGTTTTCTCAAAATCCTTGATAAATGTTCGATTTCGATAAAATAATTTTATATGCAATGAGTATGTAATTTTTTTAAAGAGGAAATTTACTACCTCTTCTTAACTAACATTTCAAATATAAAAACTGCAATTTAATCTTCACACCATATTAGATTTTATTAGGCATTTTAACATGGGTATGTCTAACATATAATAAGTATCTGGTAAAAATAATAAGCATCTTATTACCTACGTAATTAGATATAAAATGCTTTCAGATTATCATGGACACGGTACCTATCAAAAGAAAGAGTAAAACCTTTCGATGCCATGCCTGGATTGAAAGCTTTGCCTGTTATAGGGATAATGCATCACTTTATACCTTTTTTTGGTAAATATTTTTTTCTTACTTAAGAAGTATTATTACACGTCGTTATTATATGTCACGTGTTAATTTGATTTAAGGAACCATCGGGCCCAAAAATAATTTCTTCGATATGTTTGAAGTGCTTTACAACAAGTATGGTCCGATTGTGAAAATGGAAGGGATGCTGGCAAAAGGAACGATGGTTATGTTCTTTGAACCGGATCATTATGATAAGGTACAGTGTGGGTTCAGTTAACAGCAATCCAAAACTTCGACATCTCTAATTCATATAACCCTCATTACATTAAGAATAGGGTTCAAAAAAGATTTCGAAAATTTAACATGTGGAATAAGTTGTGCTCGTTGTGTCAATAGATTATGAAAGTTAATTTGAAGACCTTTTGGAACCTGACGTGTTGCGTGTGGTCTCCTGCTATTTGGAAAACTACTTACAGAGGATAAAAAATATAGTCTAGTTTCCTGGATTTGAACTACTATAAATATTTATAAAGCATGAAAGCAAAATTCACACGCTAAAAAAACTCACGCTAGGAATAATAAATGTAGTGTGTATGAAATTTTGTTATTTACAGGAAAACTTTGAAAAGTTCCTTTAATTATAGATTTATAGAGCGGAGGAGTCGCCTGCACCTCTTCGCATGGGGTTTGAAGCTTTGGTATATTACCGAGAAGAACTTCGGAAAGAAAGATTTGACGGAGTCTATGGACTAACAACTGCGTGAGAAAAATATTTTTAAATAAATGTTAACTATACTTAAGTTTAGACACAATCTCTCTATCAGCATAGTCTATTACTCCACTGCTGGATATATGCTACTTTGAAATTTTTCCATTGTCCTCTGCTTGCAGTTATTACGTACCACGTCGGCGCTGTCGTTTTTTTTATATCGTACGACGATCTGGCCGGTGCTGAATACACTTCATCAACAATCACGACTTACACTCATCTTTCATCATCTATCACAATCAAACCTCTAAACTGGTTATGATTAAATTTTAAAAGCTTAGACGTGGTTTGAGGAAGAAGGCTAGGTACTTTCCCAAAATATCCTACATGCTAAGTCCACGTGGACAAAGTTATAATATCAAAAGATTATTTCAAAGTCAAATAGCCGCTCAATTGAACGGCTAACTCTTTGAACGTCGTCTTTCAACTCTATAGCTAAACGTAGATAGTCAGACAAACTTAGCTGCAATCAAAATAAAGGATCAATATTGCCTCTTCGCTGTTCACTTGTTTCATGAAAATGTTGTTTTCAGGCAAGGAGAAAAATGGCGAGAATTTCGTACAAAAGTAAATCCAGCTTTATTGAAACCGAAAATAGTGAAATTATATGCGCCGGGATTAGAAGAGGTAGGCTATGATAAGTAACTACAAGTACACTTAAATATTTTAAACCGATTGATAATGTTTCAATTGTAACTTATTTATCGCAGAATCGATTTAATATCAATGGGGACTTGTCTCTTAAACCGATCTACGACTGTCAAAGTACCCTTTATTGGCAGAATTGCGTAAATGCAAATAGGCCATGAATTAAAAAAGAAGAAGAAGAAAGTACCCTTTGCAAATCATCTATAAATTATAGAACCATAGAATTAATAAGTACTCTACGTACATAGAGTACTTATTAATTCTATGTATAGAACTGCATCAAAGAGTACAGTAATAATATGGAAAAACTTTATATGAGGCTCATATTGCACTGCAGATATTTTTATATAATTAAAAATATTATTATAAACTTTTAAAGATGAAATATTACTTTGTTGTTTTTATTTTTATTTTACGCGTATATAATTTAATAAATTTAAAATGAATTACATTATAGTTACATACATATTTTTGAAAATCTATGCATTTCTTATTAACGCCTACTATTAACTAACAGCAAATATTTTGGTATGAGCTTTACTGAACTTTTGTAAAAGGCACTCACTGCCTAAACAAACAAAGTAGAGTGAAGAGATCAAATCAATGTATTAAATTAGACATAATGCAAACAAGCCTAATACCAGCGTATTTATTTTAAACTACGAATGTAGACAGAGAAACATCATCTAAGTTCGATAGCTTTAATTGGCCCATTAAGCTTAGATCATAGTCATTGGGTATGTTTTTGTTTGAAAAATTATCGAGACACGACACGAATAATACGTAGATAGACTATAATACTATGTAGATATTAATACGTAGGTATGATTCAAGGTCAAACAAATTTGTGGGTTCGGTATTTTTAATCAACGTTAATATTGTTTGTTAGTAAGCATAGGAAGTTTGTTGGAATAAGTTGCGTATCAGTGTTATCAAAGATATTTTTAGTTGATATAAAACAAGGTGATAAAAAAAATGATTTTGCTTAATAGGAGTGCAATGATTCGGCAGACGCAAATATTTCAGTGTGTATTTTTTTAAGAACTGTAATAAACATTGTTTGGGGTTATTTTGATAATGTCTACGCTGAATAGATACCAATAAGTATTTATTCAATAGATATCTACCACGTTCGTATCGATAATACTAATATTATAAACGATTTTATAATTTCTTAATATAGCTAATCAATATTTTTATCAAATTATACCAATAATAGAATTCTGAATTTAGCAGTTCAACTCTGCAGACGTAGATTAGATAGGATATTCTACTCTGCTGCTTTTTCTCTAACAATCGTTTCTATGGTCGAGAAGTAATTACTTGAGAAAATGACTTAACCAATAGACGAGAATTCGAATTACAGTTCTTACTTCAGTATTTAGTAAAAATATATGTTTAAGTTATGCACTTATGACATATTATCAAGGAATTACTTCTCTCGATTATAGATGTCTAAGAGGGGTCGTGACAAAAATGTTTTCTCAAAATCCTTGATAAATGTTCGATTTCGATAAAATAATTTTATATGCAATGAGTATGTAATTTTTTTAAAGAGGAAATTTACTACCTCTTCTTAACTAACATTTCAAATATAAAAACTGCAATTTAATCTTCACACCATATTAGATTTTATTAGGCATTTTAACATGGGTATGTCTAACATATAATAAGTATCTGGTAAAAATAATAAGCATCTTATTACCTACGTAATTAGATATAAAATGCTTTCAGATTATCATGGACACGGTACCTATCAAAAGAAAGAGTAAAACCTTTCGATGCCATGCCTGGATTGAAAGCTTTGCCTGTTATAGGGATAATGCATCACTTTATACCTTTTTTTGGTAAATATTTTTTTCTTACTTAAGAAGTATTATTACACGTCGTTATTATATGTCACGTGTTAATTTGATTTAAGGAACCATCGGGCCCAAAAATAATTTCTTCGATATGTTTGAAGTGCTTTACAACAAGTATGGTCCGATTGTGAAAATGGAAGGGATGCTGGCAAAAGGAACGATGGTTATGTTCTTTGAACCGGATCATTATGATAAGGTACAGTGTGGGTTCAGTTAACAGCAATCCAAAACTTCGACATCTCTAATTCATATAACCCTCATTACATTAAGAATAGGGTTCAAAAAAGATTTCGAAAATTTAACATGTGGAATAAGTTGTGCTCGTTGTGTCAATAGATTATGAAAGTTAATTTGAAGACCTTTTGGAACCTGACGTGTTGCGTGTGGTCTCCTGCTATTTGGAAAACTACTTACAGAGGATAAAAAATATAGTCTAGTTTCCTGGATTTGAACTACTATAAATATTTATAAAGCATGAAAGCAAAATTCACACGCTAAAAAAACTCACGCTAGGAATAATAAATGTAGTGTGTATGAAATTTTGTTATTTACAGGAAAACTTTGAAAAGTTCCTTTAATTATAGATTTATAGAGCGGAGGAGTCGCCTGCACCTCTTCGCATGGGGTTTGAAGCTTTGGTATATTACCGAGAAGAACTTCGGAAAGAAAGATTTGACGGAGTCTATGGACTAACAACTGCGTGAGAAAAATATTTTTAAATAAATGTTAACTATACTTAAGTTTAGACACAATCTCTCTATCAGCATAGTCTATTACTCCACTGCTGGATATATGCTACTTTGAAATTTTTCCATTGTCCTCTGCTTGCAGTTATTACGTACCACGTCGGCGCTGTCGTTTTTTTTATATCGTACGACGATCTGGCCGGTGCTGAATACACTTCATCAACAATCACGACTTACACTCATCTTTCATCATCTATCACAATCAAACCTCTAAACTGGTTATGATTAAATTTTAAAAGCTTAGACGTGGTTTGAGGAAGAAGGCTAGGTACTTTCCCAAAATATCCTACATGCTAAGTCCACGTGGACAAAGTTATAATATCAAAAGATTATTTCAAAGTCAAATAGCCGCTCAATTGAACGGCTAACTCTTTGAACGTCGTCTTTCAACTCTATAGCTAAACGTAGATAGTCAGACAAACTTAGCTGCAATCAAAATAAAGGATCAATATTGCCTCTTCGCTGTTCACTTGTTTCATGAAAATGTTGTTTTCAGGCAAGGAGAAAAATGGCGAGAATTTCGTACAAAAGTAAATCCAGCTTTATTGAAACCGAAAATAGTGAAATTATATGCGCCGGGATTAGAAGAGATAGCTGATGAATTAGTGTCAAAGTAGGTTGTATTCTAGCAGGTAAACACAAGATGTTTAGGAGTCAGCTTAATATGAACCAGCATTTCTTTTCCAGACTTTGGAAAATGAAAGATCACCCTGAAGCCTTGTCAAGGGAAATCGAATCGGAAATCACAAAATGGTCTCTCGAGTCGGTAGCTTTGGTTTGTCTTGGTAAGAGAATTGGTTGCTTACAAGACAACTTGAGTGATGATCATCCAGCAAAAGCATTGACTTACTGCTCCAAATCAATACCAGATCTTTCATTCAAATTGGAATTCGCCCCAAGATTCATAAATAAGCGCAACTCGTCTTGGTTTAAACAACTTATGAACATTTTCGACTTACAGTGGGAGTAAGTATCGATCATATTTTCAATATGCAAGAATTTCTAGTAAATATTTACTTTATTACATTAGAATACTATGCACTTAAAGCATTAAACTCTCTAAGTCAATACAGGCTAGAATCTTCAAGCGAATCTGTATCGCTACGCCTTGAATACGCCAGTCGTGTCTTGAATGTTATAATATTTAAAAACATATATAATTTTAAAATTACTCCCAACTTTATGTAGTAATAGTTAAATTTATTAACTAAAACTAAAAAATATACTTTAAGGGAAAGAAATTTGCTACATTCTACGTCACTGCGAACGCCTGACGGTTCCAGATTTGCGTACTTGCTCAAAAAACTAACCTTTCTCACCATGAGATGTAGCTTCATGAAGCATGTATTATTTTTAGAGTCAGTGAAAAATATATCGAGGATGCTAAAAGATCAATCAATGAAAAGGGCCAGGCTACACCGGAAGAAGATCAGAGCGTTTTAGAGAAACTTCTGGCCATTGACGAGAAGGTGGCAGTGATGATGGCCAATGAGATGCTTTTTGCTGGAATAGATACAGTGAGTGTGGACCGTCCACTGGATCATACATACCGGAATGAAAAACTGATTTATCTATATTTTTCAGGTAGCCTATGCCGTCACGGGTCTTTTGTATAACTTGGCAATCAATAAGGAAGCGCAAGATAAATTGAGACAAGAGATCCGTGCACAGACAAGCACTAAATATCTTAAAGCATGTGTGAAGGAATCTTTAAGACTGTTACCTGTACTGTCAGCAAATTTAAGAGAAACATCCAAAGATTATGTTATAGGTGGATACCAAATCCCCGCTGGAGTAAGTATGAATATACTTGAAATTGTTTCATTTATACAGTCACTTGCAGAGCTTAGATTTAATAATTTTAATTACAGACGTTTGCAATAGCACCAAATGAATATTTATCAAAATTGGAGAAGTTCTATCCTCGAGCTAAGGAATTCGTTCCAGAAAGGTGGTTGGTTGAGAAAACTGATCCAATTCATTATGGAAATGCTCATCCTATGGTTACATTACCCTTTGGTTTTGGTGTGAGATCATGCATTGGGAGAAGAATTGCTGAACTGGAAATCGAAACATTAGTTAAAAGGTTATTAGATAAAGTTGAAGTACAATGGACTGGCCCCCCATTGAAAGTTTCGACGAAAGTTATAAATAGCTTTAAAAAGCCATATCATTTCAAATTGGTGCCAGCTAAATGATGACTAAATACTTTATAGATAATTAATACCAACAATAATAAAAATAATAACTTATGAAAATTTGTTTCAATAAATTGCACAAATTTTTTTTATGACGGATTTTATTTCGGGTCGCTTACTTATAGTTACCCAATTTTAATGATTAATTCATGAAGAGTGTATGTATCTTTTTTGTTTTCCATAAGTCATCAAATTTGACAGCTTGGTAAGCGTGTTTTGCGATTGATATTTAACAATCACTATGGTATCAAGTTTGAATGCCCTGGTTTTCACAAAATTTGACAGGGTTCCATGAGATTGAATATTGCAAAGCCCGTGCTGACCTGAGAGTCACGGGCAGATATAAATAGCTTTGAAAAATTTTATAATAAACATAGTTCCAGTCTTATCCCAAAAATATGTGATTGATTGAAATCATTAACACATTAAGTAATGCTATAATGGTTTTCTATATTTTCCTTGGATCCATACCCTATACATTGTCAACATTTTTCCTCTGTTTACTTGTAATCTTCTATCTACTAAATTCTGTTCTTCTAGAAAACCAGCTTCCTTGAACAGACTCGAAACTTCCTCTTGAGTGAAGAAATATACTTTTGTTTTATCTCCACGGGCATAAAAATTGTCTGATATGCAACGGCCTTTCTTAAATCTGAGTTGGGCGAGATCATAACGGCCATAATCTCGAAATACAACTAAACCACCAGGCTTTAAGTATCTGTAGATGTTATCAATGACGAGTTTCATTCTGAAAAAAAAAGTTATCAATATAGTACTTATCTACAGAAAAAGCTCAAACTAAAATTATATAAACTTCTACATTGGTTGTAATAAATTGTAAGAAACACATTTATATGCTATCTGACACATAGTTAGGTTTTCCATCAACCTATACTTCCCGGAGGAGCTTGATGGCATCATGGTCAGCACACTTTGTCTGCAATACAGTAGTTGAATAACATTCGCGAGGGCTAGTCATAGGATGGGTGACCAAAAATGTATTCTCAGGCTCCTCTATGATTCAGAAAGTATATTAAGAGCCATATGACAAATTTTCACTCTGTGAGGTTAGGTATTTTGAAGCGTTCCGAGTTCTCGACAACTTGTTCAAGGTCACGAGTCCACAATACTGTGTTGAAATCACGTTCAAGCTATTTTGATACTTTTCCCAATTTTTGTATTTATTTTAGTATTCATTATCGATTCCCGAATATCTATTTTAACACGACTGCTCTCGAAAGGAGTCTATTGTTTTTATAATTAATGTATGTATGTGAGTTTTTTATTGCACCATAACTTTTGAAAAATATTACGTATATGAATTTCTTAATATAAATATATATTTTAACTTTCTTATACAAATATACCTAGGGGTCTTTCGACCTATGCTGAAAATAACAAATGTGTATTAGAAATAATTCAACAAGCTATATAAATTCCAAATAAATCGAACTTCGTGACCAAAGTTGGAATTCCCACTATACTGCTCTATTTACGCTCGCTCGAACGTATCTAGATCGAAAAATGGCGCGAAGTAATGCGACACAGGTCTAACGTTGAGGAGCGCTCGCGCGGTACTGAGCTCAGACGGCCGCTGCATCTTATTTTGTAGTGATTTTGCGTTTACATTTATCGTATTTATTGAAATAATATAATAAATTTATGCTTTAAATTTATAATAACTTTGTTCCTTATGAAATAGTCATTAATCTGGCATAAATTTTGTTAAATAATATTGTTGTGGCTAAGAGAAATTCAAAGTTAACTTCAAGCAATTTTTGATGTTTTTGGTTTGTAATATGATTGTTTTTCTATATTTAATCATTGCTATTTCAAAATTTCGAGCTACTGTTTACTTTACTACTATATAAGAGATATCATTCTATTTCTTTTATTTCGTTTGTTAAGAACAGTAGCTCAATCCAGGACTTCAAAAAAGTGTCATTGCGCATTTTATGAAAATCTTTCTCTTGTATTTTGGGTTTAATTAAAAAGATGAGCAAAATTTCCAAAAAGTTAAGCCACTTTTTTCTATACTAAGAGTTATTCTTCACTATTCAACAAGTCAAAATTGTTAATTTGTTTTGTTTCCGAGAAAAATCATGCAGAAATCACAGTTGAGATGTAATATGGCTCTTAAGCCTTTGACACCAGCTGTATTTGCATTTGTTAATACCCATTAATTCGCGCTAGGCCTCATTTCATTCAATTCCACTTATAAAAAAGGCTTGTGCTCCAGCAGTGGAGAAATCAACAGGCTGATGATGATAATATTTACTGACATTTTAGCAAACATATTATCATGACAGCCAAGTTTCACTGGATCACATGAGAATATGTTTTGTCCAATTTATCAAACTAACAGTAACAAATGCTTTTTCAATTTACACATTAAATTACTTACTTTGTAGGGTCAATGGCTGATAAAACAAATATTAGAACAATTATGTCCAAGGAATCTTTTTCAAAGGGTACATCCCATTCTGATTTTGTTGCATCCAACACAAACACACAACATCTACTTGTGTCATATAATTCATTTTCTCTAATAATCTCAATAGCTTTTGTCGAAAAGTCGCACCCATAAATGAAAAGGTTGGGGTCTCTACTGTATTGTAATATAGGAAAGATAGTATTTCCAACACCACAACCGATTTCAAATATGTAACGTTTCACATTACTTGCTTGATTTCCGACTTCTGGTTTTATTGACTTCACAGTTTCATCATTATTTGGGTAGACCCTGAGTGGGGCAGAGGTATTATCAGGTGCTAACTCAGGAAACTCCGTGAATAACCAATGTCGATCTTTGAAAAATCTACAATAATAAAAGTTAATAAAACTTTGACACATAGTTTTATTTATCTTAAAGAAAGAGTTTATAAATTGCCCTAGTCCCAGGTGCCAAAGATGGGATTGCTTAATTTATTTATGAAATTTTTCTTTATTTGTTCAAATCTAATAAAATAACAATAATAAGGAAGTATTTTTTAATAACTTGAAGTTATACCTGTTTTGAGTAAGTCAGTGGCTCAGTGGATAATGGCCCACAATCATTGTTATTAAGAAACTATCGGTTGAGTCTGTCACGGGATGGATAACCAAAAAAATATTATCTCAAGCTACTCTGTGCTTTGGAAGGCATATTAAGTCATTGCTTCTGGCTGCATTTGCAGTCGTTAATAACATTCCGTATTAGGCCATCGTGGAGAGTCATGGCCCATCCTCCTTAATCATCCATAAGGATGTCCTGAGCCCCTGCAATGAGGATGTAAATATGCTGATGATGATGATAGGTACCTGTTTTGATGAATGTCGTAAAATGAATCCCAATGCTTATCTGCATTTGTATCTAAATCTTTTAGTGTGTCTTCTGTGAATGTTGTTTGAGAATTCAACTGAACTTTTTCTTTGGCCGCTTTCTCCTGTTCTTCATCCCATTGAACATTATCCCTGTAAAATTATGAAAGATCAAATTAAAGGCATTTACTTAAATTAAATAAATATTACTGAAAACAGTGGTTATACTACCATGCGTTGAATAAATAAATAAGATTTTTATCGTTTAAATTTCGAGAGCCACCGGGAGGCTTTTTTCGATGTCTTGTCTTTTCTAAGTCTTGTACGTGTTTATTGCGATTGTTATTTGTACAATATCTAATAGAAATATATACGCTACCACGCATTATGTTTGAAGACTTCCTCAGCATTTTCTAAGAGTCTGTTTCCAAATTGAGGTCTTTTTTCAGTATTAGAGATCGTGTCTTCCATTTACCTATTGGACTAAAGCACACAATAAATATGCCTACGTATCTTAAAAGGTAAATCAGCTTAATATTGTATGTATTTGAGGTAAAATAAAAATACAGTAAGTTAAATTCAAGCAAGGGTTTTTTTGAGGTTAGACGTCACGTTTGTATGTCAATTGTTACTGTCACTGTCAAACTTGACACGAAAACCAAATCTTGACATTTGCTAATAGTGATGTCAGCATAAGTCATTTTCTATATATTGCCCCGGGCACTAGTTTTTGGATCATCGCCATCTTTCATTAATTTAATTTTCATTTTACATGTACAAATTTATTTATTTATTTGACATTGGCAGAATTGTGCGTAATGCGCAGATAAGCAATTAATAAAAGAAGAAGAAGCGCACTAGTTTTAGGAGAGCGCTGAAAAGATTATAACAATATGATCAAATAGAAAAATATTGAATAGAAATAAGAGCCGCGATTTGTCGTGGCTTCCAAAGCACGGAAAAGACCGAGATTTTAATTAGTCACTCATATTATGACCAATCATTGGAAAAGTAATGACAGGTCGGTTCGCTAGCCAGCCACTTGCACCAATGAAAATCTCATATCATACAATTGACTTTGTATTCAAAGTTCCTGGTTACACTTAAGAGGGCTCGTATGCCTAAAAGCCAGTTACTCATTTCACTTATTTAACTGGTTTTGAACCAAGAAATACTAAATTGACTGTAATAAATAATAATAAATAGATGTTAAATTTTTGCCTCCCCCAACTCCTTCCAGCATGATCTGCAGGTAGTCTCACGCATCCATATAAGCCAGCTGTTTGAACAATATCATCGAACCATTTTGCCTTTGGTCTTCCTGGTTTCCTGCTGAATGTTCGTGGTCGCCATATGGTTATCTTTTGGCTCCACTTGCTTCCCTATATCCACAACACCAGCCACGAAGATATGTCCGAAGCTTAGATATTTCCATTTCTCTTTGAGTTACTTTGAGTCTTCTTATTATGCCATCTGTTAGTGTCCACGTCTCACAACCATATGTTAGTTTAGGGAGGATGCATTGGTCGAAAGCGCGTCTTTTAAGATGTATTGGCATGTTGGATCTAAAAATTTCCAGCATTTGTCCAAAGCTCACCCATCCCAAACTTTTTCTGCGCTTTATGTCATCGCTCAAGTCGTTTTCTATGTTAATTACTTGTCCTAGATAAACATATTTAAGTGATCTCTGCTAGGTTAGTGCCATCGATTTGAATACTTGATGTTATTGGCCTATTGGCCCTTTAACTTTGTTTTTGATATATTCATGTTCAAACCGACGAATATTTATTTAAATAAATTAACCTTTAAGGCAGATAACCTGGTTTTAGGTTTTAAGATTATGACCGTTTGTTTAGCTATAATCTAAAATTTTAAAAACCCTTCACATGTAATTTAATATATTTGCCTTTGCGTCAGTAACGTTGACGAACATATCGACATATACGTGGGCAATGAGATAGATATTTTTGTATAATATTTGGCTTTATACCTACTCATAAGTATTCCCATTACGCTTCGTAATAACTTATTTCTAATCTGTGCATTATGTTGTCTGATCTAGTTGTGTAAATTAACCATGAGTATCATTTGTTATTATCTTCTGTTGTTTTTGTAAATATCGAAACGAGACATAATTAAACAGTCAATCTTGCAAACTGATAATTATTATAGTTTATATTATATTAGTGTAATAACTGCATTGGATTCATAATTATTTGAAAACCATATTGATTCGTCACATTAATCGAATATTTTAAGTAGCACACCTCACTACCAATGAGGAAGAATTTAAAAAAGCATTAGTTCCCGAAATCAAACTAGATGTCGCTATGGTACGTTCTTGATTCCTCCATGACAACCTTTCCGGTTTTCGTTCATGTTAAAAAGTAAGTTAGTTTTCAAAACTTAATAAACAACTCATAATCTATTTGTACTTTTTCGTATTTGTATTGATATCTAAGTTTCGAACTTTTAAAATTTCAGGTTTTTTAATATGATAGACAAAAGGAACGGAACTGACTATCTTTGGTCCATACGTTTCCTGCAAAAATCAACTTTTGCTAGAGTCGCCATCTAGTGATGGTGCTTTTTTAGTGCTTTCGTTTTTTTTAAATACTTCCTCACTTCAGAATGATGATGTCAAATGTGGCTTCATATATTGACCCGATTTTATTCAATTTGCCATGCATTTTGTGATAAAACGAACCGTGATAGCAAGACAGTTGAAAATTTAGCAGATTATGTATTTCTGGTGCCGCTATAACAACAAATTTTAAGAAATTGTGCGTGACTACGCGAGTCCGACTCCCACTTTGCCGGTTTTTATGAGATTTTCTAATTATTCTTTTGACTTTTGATATAAAAATTCACAAACATTCAATCACAGTCATGCTATGTCTGTACATAAGCGACATAAATAAAATATTAAATATTTCTTACAGAGCTGGAAATCTAGCATTCACACAGCATTAATATTACGATTATGACGCAGCTACGTCGTAGCGGCGTAGCATCGTAGAATGGTTGTACATATTATTCTATTTTATTTTATTTCTTTCAGAAATTACACTTTATTCGTTTAAGTTACATCTTATACAAAATCTTCAACTAAATTTACTGAGTGAATATATGCTTGATTTATTGAAAATATTGTATTTTTTGTGCACATTTTTTATTTTCTTTGTTTGTTTAGTAGGTATATTTATGTTCTTCTTCTTCTTATCTATAATAATATAAAAAAGGGGAAAGATTTGATCGTTTGTATGTTTGAATAAGCTTTGAGACTACTGGATCTATTTTTAAAATTCCTCTACGCATTCTTCTAGGTATATAGCTTACATACGTATAATTACTCGGGCGAAGTAACAAGATATAACAGCTAGTATTAGATAAAATATATCCCTATCTGTTTAAATTTGTTCGATATATATATTATTTTATAGGGGTGAACATCAAGTTTAGGTAATATCAAATTTGCTGTCGTATTTTCAAGTTATAGCGCTATAAAAGACATACTGATACTGTATTGTGATCAAAGTAAACATCATAAAAACGATTCCACGGGTCATTAATGACTTCCTACAAACGAAAACGCCGTATTTTCAGATTTATATTGCTTTCTTTCTCTAATGGGGTTAATCAATAACCTATTGAATAAATATTTCATATGACGACGCCCTCTGAGGCGGTGTGGCTCGCGCGCTGCTGATTCCCGGTTCGATTCCCGGTGGGGTTTTAAAAATGAACATTTCTATATTGAATTTAGTCTGGGTGTTGATACCTTCATTGTATAAAATACTCCATAATACGGGGGCTTTAGCTACTCATCTTGAAATCAGAGTGTTAAGTGTTAGTTTAACGTTGATGCATTCACTAGTGAGCGCGTTAAGAATTTATATCGAGATTTGTAGTTCTTGATAGTTACCGCTAGAGACGCTGTGCCGTTTTCTATACTAAAATCTTAACGAGCTCACAATCGACGGTAAACGTAAACTTCAAATAAACTTACACTAAGCGATCTGAGCAATGTATGTGATGTCCAAAATTTTATATTTTTACATTTAATAAACATTAATATTTTATATATCCAAAGGAAGTATAGATAGCGTTGGTATAAAAATCAACAGATGCATACTCCGTTGGTTCGGATATGCGGAATGAATATCGGACAAAAGAATTATACCGCGGAACGCCAAGACACGTTTTATAAATATATATTTCCGTATCGCTTGGCATCTTAATATTTAATATAAAAATATTATATGCTTTTAGCGTGTGTTGGACATTATTTTTCTTCTTCTTTAACAATGGCCTATTAGCACATTTCGCTCAATTCTGCCAATGTCAAGTCAATAAATTAATTTCTACATGTAAAATAAATAACAACGAAAAAACGCAGGGCGAGCGATATTTAATGTTAACATATTATATTATGGTATATTTACGCGTCATACGTGAGCTTACCAAAGAACCAAAAAACATACCAGTTTTGAGTGATCAACAAAAAAATGCCTTTATTTTGCTTTTTGTGTCGAGAAAAGTAATAGCGATATGAAAGTGTAACCAGAGTCCAACTTTAGGCGGCCCCTAAACGATCAATTTAATTGCGCAATATTACGAATTGTGCAATATTATTGACCATTTGGATGATGGAACAAAAGTTCGAGCGAGTTTAATTTTTATTGCACCAAATTTTGCTATAGCTTTGTGTAGGGTCAATATTGCGCAATATTTTTTAGTCTGTGTTTCGTCTTGACGAGGAGTACATGTGCACGTGCAAAAATGGCGGAAACAGATATTATTAAGGAAAGACTTTGTGGGGAAATAGCACTACGAAATTTTAAATCTTCCAGAGTATTTCCAGTCGCTAGATACCGTAATGTTATTAAAGTCGTTGAAAAGCCTCCCTCATGATTGTATTTTTTTTCTAAATCGTTGGCGTGACCAATTTTAGTACCTCTTGAAACTGTTCCAAGTTCAGTCGTTCAAAATCCTTGAATTGTGCTTCCTCAGTTAACATCAAGTCTTTTAAAAGATTTTCGTGAATGTATGTCTGCCTTTTTTTGTACCAAACTTTTGACCACCGACGTGTTCTTTTACGTTTACATTTAGCCACAAGCAACAAAACTACAGCAGCAGCTAAATCTTGTTCGGTATTATTGCTTACGAACGGTGCACATGGGATCAACACTATTCTACGACTGAACACGAAAAGATTGCGGAGTTCGTTTATTGTGCAATATAATTGATCGTTTGTATTCTAAGCGCCTTTCAATCTTATTGTACAATAAAATATATTGTACAATGTTATTGTGGCGTCTAGGGGCAGCCTTACGGTGGATAACGATATTATTCTGCGTGACTAGATGGCGTTCCAAACGTACTTTATTTCAACTTTAGAAACATGAGTTTACAGTGTTGTTATTTGTTTATCGCTTAAAATATAATATTATAAACAATGTTTAACTTTGAAAAGCTTTATATTAATAATATAATTATGTATACGAAGGATAGTTTTATATTTGATTGTCAATAGATGGCGTCAGTGTTCTCATTTTGTGGTTTTACGTGTTTATTGACGTAACTCAAAGTAATTTATTTATTGATTCTTTCGAAAGC